CGTAACGGTCGCATCGCGGATTCCGTATGAAACTCTGTTCAGGCGTGGATACGAAATCCGGCCCGTCGATCGGCGGCTTTTCTCGAGTAGATTCGAGTTGGATCGAGTCGAGCCGAGCCGGGACGAGCGACGAGAACGAGCCAAGGAAGGACCGCGCGGATCTCGGGAGTCGCTATGCAACACTCCCGAGCATTCGACTCGACTCGCGGCGGCGCGGCGGCGCGTCCGTGTGCCAGTGTGGCAGCCGCGTGGCCGGCCGTGTGCGTGTGGGTGCACGCGAGCACCGCCAGCATTCGCGCAAAGAAGGTGTTTGCATTGGCCTAGTGGCGAGGCGTTCGCAGCTTAAATTAATTACCTCGTCCTCCGATGTAACGGGTCTTTGGCCGACGCGCGCAAACTCGCCGCCGCGATCGGTCTATACGATTTTATTGGCTTTTCAGCCCGAATCCAGTCTAACGCGTTCGCGTTTTTGGCGGCGCTTTTATTTCCCCGCGATCCGCGGTACAAGGTACAGCCTCGACCGCGCGCGATCGGCGACGTTTCACGCGATTAGACGCGATTATGCGCGATTCGACCGCGGGAACATCGTCGCCTCTGGCCGGTACGAAGAGGCTCCCCGACCGCTTCTCCGCGAAGCCGTCGACGGAGTGGGTCCGCTCGCATACGCGCTTTCGCGTAGCCTTTATCCGGTCCGCGGAGGAGGGACGGGAGAGGAGGAGAGGACCGAACAACTTCGACGGCGCCGAGTTCTACGAGTTCGAGCGAGTTCCTCTCGCCGAGCTTAGAGAGAATCGGCGTGGCACCGTCGTCGCCCAGAAGGAGATCCGGACGGAAGGATCCGGCCGAAAACTCGCGTGATAAATTACACGGCTCCTCCTATTTGTGATCTCGAACGAGCCGAGAGATCGTTTCAGATCTTATCGATCCGACGGCAGACAGCGTGGCAACGTCATTATTACGAGAACCCGTGGCGATGGTTATCGATTCGTAAAAGCATTAACGATCGTTTTACGATGCTCGATAAACACGACATTCGATAAACGCGTATCGTACCGAAAGCGAACGCCGATAAAAATATCTGTCCGATACGCGAAATCGCTATTACGGTAAATTAAACGCGACCTGCGCTCGCCAGCTACGCGCCTCGTCCCACGAACGCGTCGCGTCGCGTCGCGACGGCAAATACGCCGCGGCGTCGCGGTTACACAGCGCGGCCGCGTCGATAGAAAACACGATTCCGCCGCCGCCGCCGCCGTTGCCGCCGCGCGATACGATCGTTCACAATTTGAAACGAACCGCAGGTACACTCGAGTAGGATATCGCGTCCCGAAGGGCCGGCGGGAAGAAAAACGAGTCGAAGCGCCGCGAGCGAAGAAGAGGGATATACTTTCCCCGAGAACAAGACGAGGCGCCGGGCGACAACCAATTAGGCCTAAAAACCGGACGGACGTTCTCGTAGGACGATGCCGCCGCCGCCGCCGTTGCAGTCGTCGGCTTTTGCTGTCTCCGTCGCAGTCGCCGGTCGTCGCTGTCGTTTCTTTCGGCGCGGCGTCTGGTGTCTAGTTGCGACGAGAAGAGAAAAGCGGAGCGGAGAGCGGAGCGTCGTCGGGGACGGAACTCGAATGAAAAACCTCTCGAGATTCGGGCCCCTTTGCGGCAACGCGGCCTGCCGGGGTCCCCTCGAGCAGACACATTTTCAAGAGCGACCGCGCAGTGGAACACGAAAGCGGCTGCGAAACTTTCTCGGACAAGAGGAAGTTGCTCGACGCGACCGCGTCTCCCTTTCTCCGATTTTCCAATTTTCTAATATTCCAGCTTTCCGACCACCGGCTTCGACCACCGAAAACGACGAGAGCAGAGCAGAGCGCGTTCGCTTGTCGACGGGCCGCGCTCGCTCGCCTCGCCCGTTCGCTCGCCGACCAGAACCGGAACTTATTCGTATCGAGTGGTTCGCGCGATACGTTATCGCGGTCGCTTCGCATCCGTTTAAAAGTCTCCGCGTGCTCGCTGCCAGATCCGTACGAAGCTCTTTTATTTTCTCGTGTTCCCGACTCTCGACGATAATTTTTCTAGATCCGGCACGAAACTAGATTCCGTTCCATTCCGTTCCATCGTTCCACGCCGGAGAGTTCTTAACGGTGGTCGAATCTTTTTCTTTTTCGTGGTTCAGCCCGTGCTCGTCGCGCGAGGAGCCTCTCGCGATTCGTTCGCCGCCGCGTAAAACCGCGAGTAGACGAAACGCGCCTATCTGGAACGGGGCAGGTGCGCGAGAGTCGCGCGTACAATTCTACGGTTGCATCGAAGAACGCCGGGTGTCGCGTGTTTTCACTTCCGAGATATCGTCGCATAATGTACTGATCATCGACGCTTCGTGCTAACAATGTTTCGAATTGCACAACTATTATTATTATAGTTGTGCACAATTCGAGATATTGAAATAAGATTATTGAAATCAAAATATTACGTGCACGGAGGACTTCCAGCCTTTTTATAAATAAATAATAATAATAACTATTATTGTTATAGTTATTATTATAGTTATTATTTATTATTATATTATATATTATATTATATTATATTATTATATTATATATTATATTATATTATATTATTATATTATATCTGTCTCTTATACACATCTAGATGTGTATAAGAGACAGATATAATATAATAATATAATATAATATATAATATAATATAATAATATAATATAATATATAATATAATATAATAATATAATATAATATATAATATAATATAATAATATAATATAATATATAATATAATATAATAATATAATATAATATATAATATAATATAATAATATAATATAATATATAATATAATATAATAATATAATATAATATATAATATAATAATATCTGTCTCTTATACACATCTAGATGTGTATAAGAGACAGATATTATTATATTATATATTATATTATATTATATTATTATATTATATATTATATTATATATTATTATATTATTATATTATTATAGTTATTATTATTATTTATATATAAAAAGGCTGGAAGTCCTTCGTACACGTAATATTTTATACATAGGAGCGGGATACTGTCTTCTGTTATGTGTTTGCATTGGTGACAAAATTATGCGATCGACGTTCGAAGGTTTTTTAAGGAACCGGTGGAAAAGAGTCGACGTCGTTGCCGTCCAGTGTCCGCGAAGCTGCCGCGACGCGATTCATCGGATCACGTAAACCGTATTTCTCTCGATTTAACAGTTAGCCAATCGAATGGGGAGAGATCTTTTCGTTTGAAATTCAGTCGATCGGGGAAATCTTCCAGGTCTAATTCAAAATGACTGCTTAATTTTATCAAGATTTGCATTCGTGCCTACGAACGTTGAAGAAGCAATTGATGAAACAATACAGAAAGAAGCTTGCTTCGTAACTTCTATTCAACCGAATGAAATACTTTAGTTTCATGAAATTTTCGAGATCGTGGAAGTGTTAACCCTTTGCGCTCGAAGCCATTTTAACCGTAAATCCAAAATAATTTCTCTGACCTGTGGTATTTCCGTTTTATGTAACAAAGACTGCATTTTATGCGAATGCGATTGAATCTTGTGACTCGTACAAAACAGCATTACACTGTTAATAATTTTCCAAATCCGAACTTCGTTAGTATAAAAATTCTCTTGCAACGCGATGTAACGATTCTCTCTCTCTCTCTCACTCCTCTCTCTCTCTCTCTCTTACGGTGCCTCGTGATCGCCATTCGAGTGCAAAGGGTTAACGTTGTGTACACAGAATCATCATCTAGAATCCAAGCGGTGCGCTGTCGCTGGCCAACTAAAGACGCGCGATCGACGTATGAGCCGTTTATTTTGCAAGTGGCATAAGTCACTTTGTTTTTTAAGTCGGTCACTTTGTTTTTAAGTCGATACATTCAAGGGTTCGCGTTTTAACACGTTTCAAAATATGGATGCTAACTTTCGAGTAGATTTACTCAGGATACTGTTATCTCGGGATACTGATATTTTTCTCGGTATAAATAATTTCGTATAAACATTAAACAAATCACCACTTTTCATCACGGTAAAGCGACTTACGCCACTTTCAAAATAAACGGCTCGTACGATCGTCGATCGAGAGTTAAAGGTAAAACTTTGATCGAATCTTTCGGAGTCTATGGAATGTATTGTTCCCAGGACACGTTTCTTCGGACAAGTACGCGAATTCGAAAGTTCGATCGAAATGCGAGCGAAATTCGTTGATTATCGTGACACGCGGCCACGTCGTTTTCTCGCGCGCGGCCGCAGTGTTGTTCGTCGGTCGTCGGCGTAATCGTTCTTTCAAAAAACGTTCATCGTCCGAGGGATACCGTGTACAACCGTTACGAATAGAATGGCGGTGCCGGCATGATTCGGCAGACGGTAACAACGACGAAGCACGTCGCGTTTCCCGTTCGACGAGCAACGATCGTCGGCGTTCCTTTTCGCGTTGTTCCACGCGCGAGAACTCTATCGACTCCTTCGATTCTCGTACGACGAGATTTTCTCGACAACGAGACGGAAAAACGACCGCGCGTCGGTCGTCGATCGCGGCGGAGAGCGGAGGTCGACGCCGATGCCGGCGCGGACGCCGACGACGAGAAAGCGCAGCATGGTCCGACGCTTTTCGCACGCACCACGGTACCACTACCGGTCGTTAACGTTATCTCGTGTTAATTCGTAAACGATAACCGGGCACCAAGTATCGGGCACCGAGCCGCGCAGATAACGACCCGTATTCCTTCGACGAAACGGTTCGCAATCGTCCCGGCTCTCGCGCATCGTCGACCATCCGCCGTCGTTCGCCGGTTAAAACGCTCCGTTCTTGCCGTTTCTCTGCCGTTCTTTATCGCCGACGACGTCGGAACAAGCGACGAATTCGACGAGCCGCGTTTCGGCGCGCGTTTCCTCGGCCAATCGATCGCGAACCGTCCGATCAGCGCTCGCGAGGCTGAAATACGCGCGTCCGTGATTACTTACGCGTGATCAATCGTCGCCACCGAGCATCCAAAGGTTCCGGAGCGGCGTAAACTCGGTCTTCCTCCGATCGATCGATCGATCGAGCGAAGAACAACAACGATCGTCCGAGGGATCGTTCTCCGTCGTATATCGATCGGTTCCTCCACTTTTCCCCGATCACACTGTTCGTTCACTCGCGGCCACGATCCAATCTCGGCTCGGCTCTCCTCCGGCTTTAGAATCGCGAGAAGATCGGCCGGTCTCGCGGCGATTTCTATTTACGATCGGGTCGTTCGGTCCGCAGCGTCGCGTCGATGCCGGACATTCCTCCCGGTATTCACTGGCCGTTCGGCTGGACGTTCGCGGGCCGCACTGCTTTCTTCCGACACTTCAACGCATATCGTCCGTCGTATCCGTTTTCCGCCTCTTCGCGGCCGTACCCGCGGTCGTAGCTGTCGTCGTCGTCGCGAGCGTCGTCGACGGCCGCGACGGTGACGCTACGCTTCGAGGGTGGTTGGAACGCGGGGCGCGGACGTGACCCGCTCTGTGTCTCGGAAATATCGCCGAGAGAATCGCGCACATTCGGCAGAGTTCTACCGGCGAGCAGAACGCGAAGCCGGAGACGAACGCGCCGCGAGGATAGGCGAGCGCGGCGGAACGGAGAGGAAGAGAAAGCGCCGAGGGTGCGGGACGAGACCCGTGCGAGGCTACTTCTCGAACGCGGTGCAACCGGTGACTGCGGCTTCGAAACTGCCCTGGACAGTCGCCTCTTCGGCTGGCCGGGGGCCGGCGGGGGCCGGCGGGGGGCCGACCGGCACACCGGCGGGGAGAGAGGGGACAGGCGATGGAGTCGCTCTCGAAGGCGAACACGAAGGCGAACGCGAAGGCGAACACGGAGGCGAACGCGAAAGCGACCGCGGAGGCGGAGGCAACCGCAGGAGGCGGTAGCAACCGCGGACTCGACGGGCTCGGAGGGGCCGGCGGGGTCCGGGCGGGGGTCCTGGGAGGCGGAGGCGGAGGCGAACCACGGAACGGACCGGACCGGAACGGGCCGGGCTGGATCCGGAGGATCGCGGCGATCGAAGCGACCCGCGAACTATCGTCGACAGGCTACGGATCCGCCGAGAGCCTCGCAGCAGGAGCGAGAAAGACGATCGAAAAGGTTCGCCGAGATGGTAGGGATGGGGGACCGGGACGCGATTGGGCGGTCCGAGGCGGTGCACCGCGCGAAGCGACGAACTCGACGGGCGGAGCTTCCTCACCCACGGCCCGCGAAGGGCGCCGCTTTCCGCTGTCCCCGTCCCGAAAGCTTCGACGATAGCCCTCCGAATTTTCAATCATTGTTTCTCCTCCTCTCCACGAGACCATGTTCTCCGATCTATCCGCCACTGTCTTCTCTCGCCGTCGCCGTCGCCGTCGCTGACGGATTCTGCAGCGTATCTCCGGATCGACCCTCTAAGTAGATCAACCGTTCGCGATGATTTATGAGAGCCACGGACGGACAGCGCGACGATGCGATGCCACGCTCTCGTCGTTATCCGTTATTTGATTGTGAACCGGATCGAATTTATTTCGCACAAACGGGCCCAGACGCCCGTTCGGTCCATCCGCAGAAATCGACGTAATAACGAGGATCTACGTGATCGTAACAGGTCATTGAGAGCATGAAATGTCCGAGCTGAGACCGAAAGTTTGGTTCATTGAATCTCGTGCAAGATGCAATGTAATTGATCAATATATGCGACTGAACTGACAATACAACCCAATGCGAAAAAACAGATGACGGTCGATGTGAAATTCGTCGATGTGAATGGACATTTCATACTTAATGATCTAATAATAATAATAACAGTAATACTAATAGCAATAATAGTAATAATAATAATAATAATAATAGTAATAATAACAATAACAATAGTAACAATAATGCTAATAATAATAATAACAATAGTAACAATAATAGTAATAATAATAATAACAATAATAGTAATAATAATGGAATAACGATGAGAATGGAAATGTGAACAACAGGATTACTAGGCTGCGGGTATTTCTCTTTATTCGAAATAGATATTTACAAAGACGGCAGTAATAATCAGAAATTATGTAACAATAAATCGTTTCTTCAAATTCATTTTGACAAGTTGTGAATGTAGCGTAATAAAATAATGAAATTCTTCGGCGGGGGGGGGGGGAGTTGATTTCGTTATCAAATCACGTCGATTATTGATCAAGGAGGACAAAAACAGCGTTTCGACTTTGAAGAACAACTTAATAATACTTCTTACGACAAGAGTCGACGGATCGAATACAAACAGAACAGCGAAAACATTCGAAGAACTTAAAAAATACAGTTGCGTTGCATAAGCTTGCATAAAAATTAGCAGTCTGCTAATAATACGTTCGTAAAATTTCGTTCGTAATGTTGCATCAAAGTAGTAGGCACGGTAAAAACATTTTTAAAACATTCAAATCGTTTATAGTTCAGTTTTAGAAGAGTCATTGCGTTCGAATGCTTTTTGCCAGGGGTGGTAGTATACTAAATCCTCCCTAATCGACGCTCGGACTGTGCACAAAAATGACCAATTTGGAAAGAGGCGACGCGAATCATTCGAGCCTTGCGGCTCGTTTTTATAGTTATCGATTGTCGACAACTATAAAAAAAATATATATATAATATAATATAATATAATATAATATAATATAATCTAATATAATATAATATCTGTCTCTTATACACATCTAGATGTGTATAAGAGACAGATATTATATTATATTAGATTATATTATATTATATCTGTCTCTTATACACATCTAGATGTGTATAAGAGACAGATATTATATTATATTAGATTATATTATATTATATCTGTCTCTTATACACATCTAGATGTGTATAAGAGACAGATATTATATTATATTAGATTATATTATATTATATCTGTCTCTTATACACATCTAGATGTGTATAAGAGACAGATATTATATTATATTAGATTATATTATATTATATAATATAATATAATATAACATAATATAATATAATATAATATATATATATAATATAAAAAGAAGAAAAAAATGAGCAGCAAGACTCGAATAATCGCGTCTATCTCCTCTTCCCAAATTGTCCATTTTTGTTTTCAAGCTGAGCGTGAATCGAGGCGAATTTCTGCAGTATTCGAAGGACCGGTACAGAGAGAACGGGATACAGAGCTGCGAGGCACGAGTTATCGAGCGTCGGAGGAGCGTCTTCGGTCTGCGCCGAACAAAGCGTCGTGACGTCGGGCGTCGCGGCATCGGCCGTCGACTGCGAAAACGATTTAGGAGCGCGTAGAACGCGAGGACGGAGCACGCGCGGGTTTTGCGTCAGTCACCGACCCCCCTATCGGGAAAACAGGCATATAGCGTGACAGGTAAGAACCCCTGCGAGCCGATAGCTATCGCAACACCGGAAGTCCGTATCCATGGGGACTTCTAGTCCCCGGACCTTCTGCCGTTCCTTTTCCCCTCGGTCGAGTTTCTCGGTTTCTCTCTCTCTCTCTCTCTCTCTCTCTCTCTCTCTCTCTCTCTCCATCTCTCAATTTTCCGTGGATCCCTTTTCGGGCAGACTTTCGCTGTTCCGCTTTCTCGCCGGCGCCGCTCGCATACCCTCGCCGAATACCGGGTTTTCCCATTTTGAAAATTGGTCGGAGCACCGTTTATAGTTTACGTTTATAGCATCCGAGGCGATCGGTCGATCCGTATCGTTGGCCAGGGGTTCTCCCGGATACACTCCCTATTTTATCCCATCGTGGACGTAAAATGGAAATAATGCGGGTTTTAATTATATAGGCACGCCACGTTCTGGATAGATTGCACATCGTTGTAAACGCAACGCAAACAATGATTTCGCGTCGTTTGATTTTTATAACAAGTGTTATTGTAACCTTTGCCCTCGTAAGTCACGTATAAATTGAACAAATAACTCGTAAATGTGTGTGTCTTTACGATACGAATAATCGTAAATTGAAAAATTAGCGACTCGTCATTTCGACGGGTTCCGTAAATCTAGCGTTGATAACTATGCGATACGCGCGTACACGTGCGATCGACAAGTTTCGCTTTGTTCGTTCCAATTCGAGACGAACGCGATCGAAACAATGGGAAATCGTTGAGAACGTTCGAGCGAGTTTTCTGTCGAACAGAATCGCTATGTACAAAATTGTTTAGAGAACCGAGAAAGTCGCTTTTAAGGGTGATACTTTGTTTATCTACCACACACGCACGTGGAGAGAATGCAGATACGTGCGATACGTGTTTCAAGCAACTTCCATGTGTTCGGAATTCAGTAAATTATCAAATTACCATTCCAAAATAGTATTGGACCTGCTATTATTATTATTACTGTTTATTATTATTATTATTATTATTATTATTATTATTATTATTATTATCATTACTCTTATTATTATTATTACTATTATTACTATTAGCGCAGTATCTGCGGGTCACAGTTCGAGCTGGACTCACATTTCGGCCTAGCGGGCGAAAATCAGTGAAATTTGAAGAAATCCACTTTCCGAAAAATATTTAATACATTCAAAAATAATGATAAGACTTTGATAACAAGCAGGTATACCTATAACGAGGATTTTTGGGCTTTATGAGGGATTATTTGAAATATATAATATAACGATCGGAATATTCTGTCCGCGGAAACGGTATTAATACCCTTCCCGACGACGGTGTGTTAATTATTATTACTATCAATTATTATTACGGCGCAAACGCGTACTTCGGAAACACCGATGATGGCCGCCGCGAAAACGCGCAACCTTATTTTTGGCTTTGAGCCCATGGAACCGAGAAAATCGCGGAAAGCCGTGGCAACTTTTGGATCTTCCGATTGCAGCAGTAAACGTTGAATCGTATGCAACGTGCAACAACGCGTTCCAATACATTCCACGAAAGTTATGTACCCCGATGCTTCGGTTACGGGATGTGCGAGAAATTGCACCTGTTACCCGAGCAAACCATTTGTCAGCGATTACGCTAATACAATAGTAACAATTATTGTGATACTATTGGGTTGGCAACTGAGTAACTGCCAATTTCAGTTATAGACGTCTCTCGCTCCCATTCTTATGATATCCGTAATTGTTATATTATAAAATTATTATTATTATTATTATGTTATTTTTTATTATCCGTGAACGTTAGCAACTGGACAAATTGAATGCAGCGGTCAAGGAAAAGCGAGCAGAATTGGTCGATCGTAAAGGTGTCATTTTCCAGCAGGACAATGCTAGGCCGCGCGCGTCTTTGTCCACTCGGCAAAAATTCATGGATATTGCTTGGGAATCGATGTTACATCCACCATATAGCCCCGATCTCGCGCCATCGGATCACCACTTATTTCGATCCCTGGACAACTCCCTTCGTGGTGAAACTTTTAACGACGACGACGCTGTAAAATCTCGCTTAACTCAGTTTTTGGCCGAAAGGGATCAGACTTTCTACGAGCGTGGAATTTTCAAGTTGTCGGAGAGATGGCAAAAGGTCGTCGAACAAAATGGAAAATACATTACAGATTGAACTTCGTTCCAAGTAAAAAAAAATTTTTATTTCATCGAACAAATCGGCAATTACTTAGTTGCCAACTCAATACTATACCGAGGCTCTGCTACGCACACGCAGAAGGAACACGTACACGTATACGCATGTGTTCCAAGAAACTTGCAAGGGTCCGGATAATTTCGCTTTAATCTTTCAATATCGC